GTGTTGTGTTCGGTAAAACCGGGTAGGCTTGTAGGTGTTGTGGAGAAAGGCATCTCGGCTCGGGCACACACCTTGGCCCTGTTGCCCGCCGTGTCGAGTGCCTTGAAGACCTGGTTGAAGCACTCCTTCTGGGTGGTCGCCTCGAAGGTGGTGGTCTTGCCCGGAGGAATGCTGCTTTTGTCCAACTCTGTGCTCGTCATGACAGGGAAAAAGCAGAAACAGAAGAGGGAAGGGAGGAAGAAGGGAGGGAGGGAGGGAGGCAGAGCGAGAGCGAGAGGGAGCGAGACAGAAAAAGACAGAGAGAGAGGGGGGGGGGGGGGCGGGGGGAGAGAGGGAAAGGAAGTCGATCAGCACACAAGGCGGCAAAGAGAACAAAGCGATGGCATCTATAGGTGAAACCACTCGTTTCGTTCTACTCCGAGAGTCACGGCCTCCAGGTTAAACACACACCAACAACATGTAAAACGTGCAGCGGAAATGGCGTAGGCATGTTTCTGAAACAAACGCAGTCTTCCTCGTGCTTCCTTGTCAAAAAGGTTCTACAAATACACACATTTTGTTGTGTCGCCTCTCCAAGCAATCGAACAGGCATACAATCCAATCATACCCACATCCTTGAAGCCCGTGTGTACATTGCTGTCGTTCATGGCGGCACGAGGCAAAACGTCCAGTCGGAGGAGACGCACACTTCAAAATGTACATATATCGGGGGGGGTGGCTGAGGGCGTAACCCCTTTCGATCTACAGTAACATTTTTGCCAAATGAAAAAGATGACAAAACAACATATCACATCGACAACAAGTAGGGCATACCCCGCTCCCCCCTCGCCTTTCCCCTCCGGCCCACTTACCGATCCTGAAGGCTGGGGCGTCGTTCTCCACGTAGATCGAGCACCGCGCCTTGATGGCGCGCAGGGTGCGCCCGTCCATGACCATGCGGATAGCTCGGTAACCTGCCCGGGCCGGCCACATCCCACCAAAGCCAAGTTATACAGCAAGCTACATTGCATTCCACCGCCAACAATATGACACAAGGCAACTGCTGGAAAACGAAGAACCCACGATAGCAACCGGCATACCGTATATGACACAAGATAACACACCCCCTTGGCCGATTTTCAAAGCTCGATTTCTCAACAGCAGGAAGAGTCACAGCGCCGAAAACGGCGGCGTTGGAACCGTCTCGTCGAGAGCTGTTCGAAAACGTATTGTTTCATTTATGCATCCTCTTCGTCGTGGAGTAATCGAGCTTTGAAAATCGGTCCAGGGGGTGTGTTATCTTGTGTCATATACGGTATATCGCGTTGGGAACATTTCTATGTAGGTAAACTTGGTTCGGAAAGGCCTGTGACCGGAAGTCTTTGCACGACAACACACAAACCATAAAAATGCACGGCAACAGAGAAACACCACCCAAGAAAACGGAGTCCAAAAAATGAAGACAAAAATGTTATAAAAAAAAAGATTCCGCCTGGCAAGAGACACGAAGCGAAACGCCACTTTTTTTTTTTCTGCCCGCACCTGGAGGGAATATGGTCTTGGAGCTGTGGAACCCGAACCTCGTGTCCACCCTCCCCAGGTTCTCCAGCAGGATGTCGGTCACTGGGAGGGGTGCCGCCCCCGGCTCTCGTTTTCCGAGCAGCTTTGTGCCTGGCGCCAACGAAATGCACACGGGTAAAAAAAAAAAAACGTCATCATCCCCGACACGAGGTGGTGCCTTGACCACAAGAGTGGGGGTCGTTGCGGAGGTGTGTATAACAACAACACAGCCCCCGTTTGTCTGTTTAAAGAGCAGAGAAAGCAACAACAGCGGGGCGGTGGGGGGAAGGAATACAGTTAAACAACTCACCGCTGTTCTTACCCTTCGTTTTTCAGTTTAGAGCAGAGATTGAAAAGCAGTGATTTATCACGGTGCTTTTGACCCAGCATACGCATGCGGGCAGGGAGAGGTTGCGATGTATCCCACCACCGCCAATCAATCAACCACACCCAACACCCCTCAAGCTACACTTGGAAGAAAGTAACAAGACACCTTTGCCCTCGAAGAGAATCCGGGCTTGCTCCACCGCATCCTCCCTGCTTGACGTCTGCCGCTCCTGGTTGAAATCTCCTGCGGCCCGAAATACCGCCAGGACCTAGCATAACGCCATCAACAGAAAATAGGGGTGGGGGTTAATGAATACCAATATGCAGAGCGAGCTTACACCTCTCTCTCTCTCTCTTTCGCGTCGAAGACCGTGCTATGTGCCTTGCCGTCCATTGGTTCAAATCCTATCCTACGTCCGGTCTCGTAACGCAATATTCCGATGACGATGCGCGCAGCGTGTAACAACAACACCAAGGGGGGCTGTGGTTTCACTGGTCGATAAATCAAATCAAATCAAATCGATAGCCTCGCGCAATCTATTGACCGAACGATACAACGACACCTCTGGCACATGTATCGCGCCTAGACTAGTAGGCTCGAGTGTTTTTTCCTACAAGAGAACACGCGTTCAGCAATCACCTTCAACCCCTTTTTGCTTCTCTTCGCTACTAAGGTTCTAGATTCCAAGGCTCGCTTCGCAACAAGAGCGAGCGGCTATTGGGAACGGAACATTCTCGCGCTTCTCGCCGGTCGTCGAGTGCTGGCTCGCGCATTCGGCGGACACATGCCGCTGTGTTGTGCCAACGGCAAACGAACGAACCACCCTTCCATGCGTCTAGCCTGCACGGCAACAACAACACACATCGAGAGCCAAGGGCTTCGCTTCCTCACCTCTCCCTTCGTCTTGAACTCCTGCCCATCTGGGTTGAGGTACGTGTGCTGGTGGTACTTGGAGCCTTTCCGCACCACGGGCTTCCAGCCCACGAGTTTCAGTTGGACATTTCTGGCGGTAACGGGAAATAAACGTTTCCCACCGTTAACAAGGAGGAGTACGAGATGTGAGTTAACTGCCGCAGCAGTGCCATGCAACCAGATGGACGGTATATGTACCAAGGGCAGCGTTCCCGCACCGCACAGCAGCGGAGCCAGCATCTTGTAGAGCAAACCCTCTGGTCATTCTTGGGGCCGAGCAACTCGCCAACAACAGCACACGACGACGTCAGCGACAACGCCACCACCAACACCGACACAACAGCAGTGGCAGCAACACCGACACAACAGCAATGGAGCTACACCGACACAACAGCAATGGCAACAACACCGACACAGCAGCAATGGCAGCAACAGCCGACACAACAGCAATGGCAACAACAACAACAACAAATCTGGACAAGCCTAGCCCACTCTTCCAGAAGAAGCCACCAACCCCCCGCATAAAAAAGCTCAAGAATCCGGATGATGCAAACGCCATCGCGCGCTCGCTCTGGCTTAACAACACCGCATCAAAACTGCGGGTTGCAGCCCCACTCCACGACATCACCAGGCAAGCTCACTTGATGTGGTGCTCCCGAAGATACTTTCTCAGCCCCTTCATCAGCTCCTCTTCCTCCGCCGTCAGCTTAACCTCCTTCACCACCGGCGCCTTCGCCCCTGCACCGTCCTTTTCCCCTGCTCCCCCCGCGCCTCCGCCGACGTCGACGCCGGCCTGCTTGTTGTTGCGGCGCGCCGGGCTCAAGAACCCGTTAACCCGGCGGGAGGGAGACAGACTGGCGCTGGCGTCAAACGTGTCGTCTACTAGCCGCTTCTTCTTCTTCTTCTTCGCCACGACCTTCTTCATCTCGAACACATCGTCCTCGTCGTCGTCATCGTCCATCACGTCGGCCCCGCTCCGGCCACCGCCGCCGCCGCTCGCCGACTTCCCCTTGCCACCGCCCTCGCCGGCTGCCCTGTTCTCGTCCCTCCGCTTCTCCTTGGGCTTGGCGGGCGGCATCGTGCTGCTCCCGTCGCGACCGGGCGGCGGCGCTACCGCCCTGTCGACCTTACCGCTCCACGATCGGCCCTTGCCGTCCGCAGGGGCGTAGCCGCCTTCCGCCGCAGCGAGCGCCTTACGCTCCCTGCCACCGCCGACGCCGCCGCCGCCAGTGCTGTTGTTGCTGTCGACAGACATCTTCCGCCCCCGCTCCCCGCCCTTCCTACCGCCGCCGCCGACGGTGTCGGCACTCTCCGCCCCTCTACCGTTCCTCGAGCTTCCGCCGCCGCCGCCCCCGTTCTCAGCGGGGCGGCAGTTATTCCCGGCCTTCTCGGGGCTCGCTCCGCCGCCGATTCCGTTAGCGGGGTCCGCGCGGCGCGACGGCCCCTTGCCCTTCGCCGCCGCCCTCGCCTGATTGCCTGGCGGCGATTGCCGGGAGGCCTGATCTCGGTCGACTCTTCTTTCCGCGGTTCGACGCTTCTCGTCCTCGCGCTGCTGCGAAGTCTTCTTCGTCGCCCTGGCCTCCTCCTCCTCCTCCTCCACCACGT